ACATCTAGTAACATACAAACCAGATAGGTTTAACTAATTTTTCCAGGTTAGTAAAAAAGTTTCTGCATTAAGATTCTCTTTCTTACTGGGTTCTGGTGGCTAATGCCTGTAATCCTCCTACTCAGGAGGCTGAGATCTGAGGATTGTGGTTCAAAGCCAGCCCAGGCAAGAAACTCCATGGAACTCTCATCTCCAATTAACCACTAGAAAACCAGAATTGGCACTGTGGCTCAAGTTGTAGAGTGCTTGCTTTGAGCTGAATAGCTCAGGGGCAACCTACACCCAGACCCAGAGTTCAAGCCCCACAACTGATAAAAGATTCTCTTTCTCAAAATAAAAAAGTATGGGGGGGGGGGGAAGGGGTGGTAGCGATCTGTACAAAAAAGGTGTGAAAGCACTGGGTGGAAGAAGCTCAACTGGCAAGGTGAATCTACTGTAGGCTACAATAGCTGAACAAAACCATAGCACCTAAATATTTCATGACCATTTAGAGAGGGATAGAGAGAGACAAAGAGAAACAGAGGGGGAGAGAGGGAGAAGGAGAGACAGAGACAGAAACAGAGACAGATGAAGGAAAGTGAACCACCTTGAACTCCTTTCCTAAGGGATGTTTACTCACTGATAAAATTCCAGGCAAAGAGATGATCGATACAATAGCAACAGCTTAAATTCTCTTTGTGGGAGAAGACTGACAGCAAATACAGGACAGCCCAAACTTTACAGCCACCAATATGGTATTTTTGCGAAATTTTTTTGGCTAGAATTTTATTTCACAAAGAAATCAGGAACTAGCTTCTACTGGTGGTGTAAAAAAAAAAAAAATCCACAACAGAACTTTATCCTTTGTGTAATTCCTGGCACTTGTCTTAGGCAAAGTCATTTCCAAATTTAGATATTTTAAGTTCCTAAGAGGGGGCTGGGAAGGTAGCTCAGCGGTAGAATGCATGCCTTGCAAGCATGAGGCCCTGGGTTCGATTCCTCAGCACCACATAAACAGAAAAAGCCGGAAGTGGCGCTGTGGCTCCAGTGGTAGAGCGCTTGCCTTGAGCTGAAGAGCTGAGGGACAGCGCCCAGATCCAGAGTTCAGGGCCCATGACCGGCAAAAAAAAAAAAAAAAAAAAAGTTCCTAAGAGACTCTCAATAAAAGGAAAGTCATATGTTTCCCTGAATTGAAAGAATTATGGAAGTCATTACAGGAACCATAGGTATGGTTATGAGACATAACCACTTCATTCGAGTGCCTTTGTATACCAGAAAGCTGGGACCATTTACAGATGTTAACACCAAGTCCAGGAAATGGAGAGGTTTTTTTTAGTTTGCTGTTGTTTTTCTTTCCTTTTCTTTTTGTCTTGTTCATTTGCCTTAGGAAGGGGGGGGGAGGGGGGAAGACCGGGGGGGGGGGGGGGGGGGGGGGGGGGGGAAGGGGGCAGGGGGACTGAGAAATGGAGGGGAAGAGAGTGAACAAATGCAGCAGTGATACTCACTAGACATTATGATGAAAATGAACTATACAAGTTGTGAGTGGGGACAGGATGGAAGAGATGATTGTCCAAAAAGGAACAACTCATTATCTGGCTTATATACTGTACCCCCTTTGTACCTCACTTTTACAATAACAATAAATTTTTTTTTAATGTTAACAACAGCTCTGGGCTAACAACTCTTAAACTGACCCTCCAAAAGATACAGTCTTAAATAGTCTATACTTACTGTTCAACCATATCTTGGAACCACAGAAATATGAAAGATGTTAGAAACAATGAAAATATCATTTTCAGTCCCAGAAATTAAATTGCAACATAAAATGACCCTTAAGGAATTTTTGCCCTCTGAAATTATCTCTCATCAGACCTGTACTTTGGGGTATTTTCACATTTACTGCATATGTGTGGCAGGGCAATCAAGCCACAAAAATCTGGACTACCTCCACACACTACCCAGCTGATGAGCAAGCATCCTACTGTTTAAAAACCTTAAAGTAAGAGATTCCATAATGTGTAGGATTGTTTTCTAGATTGTACACCACCAATCTCCAGCCCCTACAATTATAGCCTATAGTCACAAACCCTACAGAGCTTTCCTGATGCAATACTCTCTAACAGGAAAAAGTCTAGAGAATATTTTTTAGATAGAATGAAAGCGTGTGAAAGTCATCATCAGTACTGGACAGATTAAACAATTAGGTCTCTGTGGCTTTGGGGGCCTAGGCCCATCCAGATCTCTATTCAGTTGGCCAAGAAATTGGCAGGATGAATCAGTTTAGCAGCTGATGGAATGATGAGAAAGGGCCAGGCAGCCCACGCTGAGGGCAATTCAAAGAGGCTTTCAGACAGCTACTTAACATGTGTCTTATGGGTTTTATTTAAATTTGATGGGAAAGTCACAAAACAGTTCTTTCAAGCTTCTAAATCTCCCTTCTGATCTGCCAATCTTGCAAGAAGAAAAGAGAACTATGAGAAACAAGTGGTATCTTCATAAGTGAGAATGATACACAGCTTTGTGCCACAAACCAAGTTCTCCAGTATATAAACCTGTCTGTTCCCAAACAGTCTTGAATTGAACAAAATAGGTTGACAGTACTGCCTTATGCTCAGCAGGCAGACAGAGCATGGAGCTCTCATTTCAGACAAAAACAAATTGCAAAGGAGCCTGAAGGTGTGCTAGGTCCTCAGTTCAATCCCCTAGTCCTAGTTTAAAAAAAAAATTCACACACACAAAAAAAAATCTGATGTCATTTTACCAACAATTATATATTATCAGAGTGACTTGACTTCTCTAGGTAACCTGAAGAAATTACTAAAAATAGACATCTCAACTGTGGGTCTGACATAGTCAAAATCAGTTTAAAAAATTAGGTGGCTATATAGCTGAAAGCTGGTTCTATCTGCCATTGTAAGCAATACACCCTAGAGTCTCATCCAGTACAATAGCCAGAGAACCTTGAAATAAGAAATCAATCCCTGCACTAGAAAGACCAAGACAGAGGATCATGAGTTCTAGGCCAATTTGAGTTACAGAGTGGGATGCTGTCTAAAAAAATCAAGAACAAAGATCAAAACAAAATTCCTCTGCTCAAATTCCTGTTGTGAGTTGAATTGTGTCCCTCAAAAAATAATGTTAGCCGAGCACTGGTAGCTCACACCTGTAATCCTATACACAGGAGGCTGAGATCTAAGGATCGTGGTTCAAAGCCAGCCCAGGCAGGAAAGTCCATGAGACTCTTATCTTCAATTAACCACCAGAAAACCAGAAGTGGCACTATGGCTCAACTGATAAGAGCCTTCATCTTGACCTGAAGAGCTAAGGCCCAGAATTCAAGCCCCACAAATGACCAAAAAAAAAAGAAAAAAGGAAAGAAATGTTAGGCTGGGCACAGTGGCTCACACTTATAACCCCAATTACTGAGGAGGCAGAGACTGGCATGGCTAGAGGCCAATCTGGCCAAAAAGAAAGACCATCTCCACAAATAAGATAGGCATGATGGCCCTTAACTGTCACCCCAGCTTGATGGAAAACTCAAGATGCTATCTAAAAATAACTAAAGCAAAAAAAAAAAAAGGGAGGATCTGGCTCAAGTAATAGAGCACCTGCCCCAAAATCACCAGGCCCAAGTTCAAACCCCAAATTCCAGTACTGAAAAAAAAAGTCCAAATCCTAGTACAAAACAAATAAAAAAGTCCTATCTCTTCACACCTGATGTGTTCCTTAGTAAACAGTATCTTTGAGAATGTAATAAAGTTAAGGATTAAATTCAATGACTGGCACCTTGGGAACATACAGACACGTGGAAAGACTATGGTGTGATAAGACAATTAACTCTAGTAACCACTGACCATCACCAGGAGCCAGAACAGGTAAGAAAGGATTCTTCCCACAGCCTTTGAAAGGAGCGCAACTCTGCCAATTACTGGTTTCAGACTTCAAGTTTTAATTTCAGTTCTCCAAAACTGCGAGGGAACAAATGTGTGCCACTCTGTTTTTGTATTTTCTTATGTCGGGCCTAGATGCTTGGACTCTCCGACCTCCTTGATTCAGGTCCTAAGATTGTCTACCTGTCACTTCCAAGTCAGCCATTGGCTTTCATACTGGTCCTCACATACATCATGAATATTTTCACCCTGGGACCTCACCCAGGTCAAGTCTCACAATGTTGCAAAAGCCACTCCTTCTGAGAGGAGTCTTTTCTCCAAATCTTGTTTCCTCAATTCTCTTTTGGGGTTTTGGCCCCAGTCACTTTATCAGTCACACTCCCCCTAACTACCTTTCAGCATTTACTAGCCACACTTCATATTCCCCATTCCCCACTTACTTTCTCCTGTAGTATTTAACAGAAGCTAATGTGTACATTTAGCTTAACCCTTAACCCCTCCATCTTCCCCTAAAATGTTAGCTCCCTGAGAGCAGCAGGACTTCCTGCTCTATCTATTGAATGAGCAAATCGTTTCTAATAGGACAGTTCTAATTTTTACTCAGAATTGTCTGGGTAACAAAAAAGCTTTCTACTAATTAAGTGGGACAGCCTCTACTGATGAAGGGCAAGGTCAAGGTTGGGCTCTGAAAGACTAGAAGGTATTTATGCCTGCATAGTAGTAGTCAAGTAATTTTGTAACTGCCTCTTAAGGATTCCTAACTCAAAAAAAAAATTAACTCTTACCTATAATTTTTGTGTCTAGACACACCCTAAAGCAATTTAGCCTGAGGAATTTGTGAAGCCAAATCTATTACTCTACACATTTTTACTTTTTAAAAAGCTGAGAACTGTCCAACTGCACCAAATGCTAACCAGAGAATAAACAAGGCTTCTAATAATCAAATGTGCAAAATGTTGGGGTGGGGTGGGGACACCTTACAACTAAACTAGGAGCTTTAAAAAGGCTCTTTCCGGACAAGGAGACAATCCAAACCCATTGAAACAGTCCTGAATTAACATTTTTTTCTTCCTTTCATACACATTTTTTTTTAACTATACAAAACAGGCAGAAGAATGAAGTTTTTTTTACCTTGGGTTATGGACCCAGAACCTGCCAGTCCCAGTTGTGAATCACAGGATTCCTTGAGAGGTGATTTGATGGGAGTTTCAGCTTCAGGAGTCTCGAAATTACCTTCAGAATCCGAGCTGCCAAGGGGGAAAAATGAGGAATTACCACTTTCAACGGTATTTCCTATACCTGATACAATATACATATGAATAAAGGTGTTTTTTTTGTCTATTTACAACCAGCTGATCCTCTGCATAAACTGGCCTGTGAGGAGGCTGCTGCGGCTTTTGGCGGTGCCCTCTTGGAATTCTCAGTGTACCATCCTGTCTCCTTGCAATCTCCGTTCTCTGGAGATTTTCTCCAGCACATTTATATTTGAGGTCATCTTCCCTTTTCGTGCAGGGGGAGGAGGGGTGGAAGGAGGTTTGCAAGACTCCTTTTCTCACAGGACCCCTTTTCTAGAGGCTTAAAAATTAGCGCTGCCCTCATAATTCCAGCCATGTCTTTTTTCTTTGATAGGCCTCTCTACCTTTCAGGACCTCATTCTGCTGGAGTGTCAAGAATCCTGTCACCTGCCTTCCACAATCACAGGGATGACAGCTCAGCAGACACCACCATTTCTCACCAGCTGCCAGGGGCCTGTCATCATGCGATCCTCTTTACAAGGGCTATAGCTTAGGGGAACAGTGAGGCCCAGGAGGGCCAGGCAGCGACCCCCACCCCTCGCCCCGCTCCCCAGGATGCTCTCGGTTCTACCTGGCGTGATCAGTGACACTGTCCCTATGTGTGTGCGCGCGCGTGACCAGGCGGAAGCTGGGTTCCAGAGAGCTCACAGTGAAACCGGGGGACGAAAACACACGGGAGGACAGACCACCCCGAACTCTGGACCAACACAGCGCGGAGGTGGTTATGGGCAGGGACGTGGCACGGCGATGGCACGGACAGGCGGGAGGTCACACGCAAGCACACGGGAGGAGCCGCGGATAGGTGGGTGGCAGCAAGTCTGCATCTGGGCAGGGATGCTGTGTACTTGCCTGAAGCTCAGGGATTTAGTCTCGGCTTGCGAGTCCTCCTCCTCAGGGTCGCCCAGGGGCCCCGGGGCCTCATCCTCGCCGCCGCCCCCGCCGCGCACGGCAGACCACGTCCACTTCGCCCACTGCACGGGGGACAGGATCTGCCAAGGGCTGAACGCCATGAGCCCGGCTGCCGCAGCTCCCGCTCCTCTCCTCGGGGCAGGGATGTGCGGGAAGAAGAGCCTGCCTCCTCTTCCCCCGCCCCCGTTCAAGATGGAGGGGACGGTGACAGGCGTCCGGAACGCGTCGCCGGCCGCGGCGCGGATGTGGCTCAACGAGCGAGCGCCGTCGGGGGGCCGGGTGGAGGGCTTCCTCAGCCCGCAGCAGCGCCGCTCTTCCGCGTCCTCCTTCCTAGCGCTGCGGCGTTCTGTCCCCGAGCGGGGCTCCCTCGCTGGTGAAGACGCCTCTGCCGGCCTCTCGGGGCCGCCCGCGGTGCCCGGCGACTCCGGGTGTCGGGGTCTCGCTCCCGCCTTCCAGTGGCGGGGCGCGCATCAGCTGCCGCGGAGCCGCGCCCCAGGAGCCGCCCCCTCAGGCCGTACCACTGGCGCCACGCGGGTGGGGGCGCGCGCTGCGCCGGGCCTTTGAAGTCTGCGCGCGCTCGCCGGGTTCCCCCCGCGGCACCTCGATGGATGCGTCCAGGCCGCGGGAAGGGGCTTCTCGGCTGCGGCTCCCGCCTCGGCGCCTGGGACCCCGGAGCCCCGACTGACAGGATGCGTGTTTTGAATCCGTGCCTGCCGCGCCTTTTCCTCCTTTCCTTTTATATTTCATCTTGCTGCTGGGGCTCCCCGGTGTGGCTGGCACTGGACTGCACAAAAGTTAAGGAAGCCCTGGTTATGTTGGAGGCCGTTGTGGACTGTCCCCACCCCCTCCTCCTGATCCCGCCGCCTCTTCCAGTCCCTACGGCTCCCAGAACTTAGAAGTCACTCAGCAATGCTCGTGGCCAGGGAATTAAGATGCCTCGCCCCGCTCCGGGCCGCCCTCGGGGACGCTCTGCAGCAGCTAGGACGGGTAGAGGATTACCCAGTTACAGGACAGCCGTTTTCTTTCTGTTCTTAACTTCCCAGGAATTGATTTCTGGTGTTGTCTGCTGCTTCACCGGGAAGCCAACAGGCCTGGTGACAGGAGCCTTCAAGTTCATACCTTCACGTTGGGAGGCACGAGGAAACATCAGCTTTTCCTTTTCTCTTGGGTTATTCCATGTAGGGACTGCTCCTCGCAAAACTATGGTGTACCCACTCATGAAGGAACCAGGCGTAAGGATCTCCGAGCCTGGATAAGGGGTCCTTGTACAGGATCATTTCCCAGAGATGTAGAGGATCTTTGAGGTGGTTGCAGTGAGTTCCCAGAACAGCTCCCAAATTCAGGGGCAAACTCAGGCTGACACTTGTACTGAAAAGCGGTTGGCACGCACAGAGCTGATGTATCAGGACTATCCAACACATTTGATAACAAAGACAGGGTAAGCATACACGGTAAGGCTTGGCCAGCAACCTCCTGTAATGGAAGAGCAGGTGTTTGTCTGAAGAAACAAAAGGGTTGGGATGTTCTGGAGATGGTGGTATTGATTTGATCTTCTTCCCACAGATCATAAACACAACTGTCAGGTGCATTCTAGGCATTACAGAGAAGTGGAGTAGGCAGGAGGCATTTTTGTTTTAGGCTCACAAGAAATATGCCCACACTATCTAACTGTTCCTTGGGAACACGTTAAAAAAACACAAATCCAGAGGTGACACTGTTCAAAAAGAAATGCATTATGCAACTGTAATCCTTCTGTACATCACCTTTACGATAACAATTTTAAAACCCCATACAAATCCACTCTGGAGTGAGCCTCAGTGCTTACTTGTCTAGCACCCAAATAAGGCCTTGGTGTCCAGCAGAACCTAAAAGTCGGTAAGGAATTGTTATTAAAGGGTAAATTTGGGAAACAATGCCTGGCTGGAACCAACTAATTGCTCTTGCTTCCAGAGCAGTCTTCCTTTGCCAGCAGAACTTTACACTTTCCTGAAGGGTTCCTTTTGTTTTCCCACTTCCCATGTCCAGCTACCCCAAGCTCTAAGGCCCTGGATGCTCAAACTTCCTTCATCATCCAGTTCAAGTGGACTCTGGGAAAGCATGCTGGTTTCTCCTACTTTCTATCCTATTACTCCAACTCCCACCTCCCCAACATTCATTCAGAGAGACTCTTACTATGACTTTAAAACAGTTCCAAAAATGAAAGGCAACATTTGCTCCCTCCCCCCCCCACTCTTCTCTCTCTTGTGCTGATAGTGGAGCTTGAACTCAGGTCCAGGGAGTTTTCCCTTAACATTTCCACTCAAGGCTGGTGCTCTACCACAGAGCCACACCTCTACTTCCAGGTTTTTTGGTAGTTAACTAGAGCCTAGAGTCTCACAGATTTTTCTGCCTGGTCTGGTTTCAAACTGCAATCCTCAGATCTTAGCTTCCTGAGAAGCTAGGATTACAAGTGTGAGCCAGTGAAGCTGGTGAGTGTTCTTAATAGTAATGAAGTACTGTCAGGCCAAGTAGGATACAAGGTCACACTCCTCTTAGCTTAACATATGTAACTTTTGTTCATATATATGTCCCACTTCTGGACCATAGAATTGTAAAATTCAGGAACATCTCATGTTTATAATAAATTTTTTTTGCCTTTCCAGTGAGAACAAAATTATATACTCTAAGAAGCCTGCAATAAATATCTTTAAAAAATGAGTATTCTAGGGCCTGGGAAGGTGGCTCAGTGGAAGAGTGCTTGCCTCACATGCATGAGGCCCTGGGTTCGATTCCTAAGCACCACATAAGCAGAAAAAGTCGGAAGTGGTGCTGTGGTTCAAGTGGTAGAGCACTAGCCTTAAGCTGAAGAGCTGGGGGCCAGCACCCAGGCCCAGAGTTCAGGCCCCATGACCGACCAAAAAAAAAAAAAGAGTATTCTAATTTACTCTAGTCCTTTCGAGTTTGGGTGATAGCAGTTCCTAAAGCCTGGCTTCTGGGAAAAACAGGTATTAAACTAGCAAAGAAGTGAGTGCTAGTGGCTCACACTTATACTCCTAATCAAGAGGATCAAGGCGTGAGGCTAGTCAGGGCAGATAGTCCTCCTCAAGACTCTGTCTCCAGGGGCTGGGAAGGTGGCTTAGTGGTAGAGCGCTTGCCTTGCATGCATGAGGCCCTGGGTTCTATTCCTCAGCACCACATAAGCAGAAAAAGTCGGAAGTGGCACTGTGGCTCAAGTGGTAGAGCGCTAGCCTTGAGCTGAAGAGCTGAGGGACAGCAACCCAGGCCCAGAGTTCAGGCCCCATGACCGGACCCAAAAAAAAAAAAAAAAAAGACTCTGTCTCCAAAATAACCAGCCAAAAGCCAGTGTGGAGGTATAGCTCAATTGGTAGAATACCAGTCAAGCAAGCACAAAACCCTGAGTTTAAACTCCAGTACCAGCAAAATGAACAAACTAGCACAGAGTAGAACTAAGTCCAGTGATAGTTCCAATATTATAAAGCCTGACTCGTGCAGCAACATCTTGAAACCAAAAGAAGCAAATGGCCAAGTTTTAAAAATCAGTCTACAAGTTCTTAGACATTATGAACAGCAAAGGAGCAAATAACTTACTCCAAAGCCTGAATTGACTTTATTTTCCAGAAATAGAATAAAAGGTTGATATATCAATTTTCCTGTAATTCCTATAATAAACAGTGTTTGACAACAGCTATCCTAACTAAGATAAACTATAATTTTGCTTCTGTAACCTCAGCTGCACTGAGCAGAATGTCTGCAAATGCATACAAGTAACCAAATGATATGCATGTGTTCTGGAAATTTCCACAAGCACAAAAAGGGTCCCATTTGTTCTCTTCCTTCTTCTGTTCCTTGCCCTTATCAGTAGCTTCTGCATCAATATTCCATGAAAATCTAAAATCCAATTCCCTGGGGCTGGCAGTATATAGCACAGTGCTAGAGCAAGAGCTTTAGCACATGATCTTAAGTTCTGGGTCATGTCCTAGCACCAAGATAAGTAAGTATGAATAAATAATTTACTACTGCCGGGGGCTGGTGGCTCACACCTGTAATCCTAGCTACTCAGGAGGTTGAGATCCAAGGATCACAGTTTGAGGCCAGCTTGGACAGGAAAGTCCATGAGACTCTTATCTCCAATTAATCACAGAAAAAGTAGGAAGTAGTATAGATCAAATGGTTGAGAGATAGCCTAGAGCAAAAGGAGCTTACAGCGCACAGGCCCAGAGGGAGCTCAAGGCCCAGGCCAAGTAAAAAATATAAATAAAAAATCAATAAAAAATCACATATACATATTTTATACATAATATATGTATATATATGTATATAATTTGCTACCTTGAAAGACTTCACAAATAATAGCCAAACCAGGCACACACCTTGCAGCTAATCTAAGCTGCAGAGAGGTCTGTAAAATGGTTCTCTTTAGTAAAGGTAAAATAAATGATGGGTAAACAGACAATTAGGGCCGACTCATCTTGACCTAGCTATAGTTAGGCTCCACTAAGCCCTGTTTGCCTCACCTTGAACTTCAGGGTCGGTCTTCCAAGAATCCACTTTTATTTAAAAAAAAAAAAAAAATCCTGCTTGAGCCATGTGCTTGGTGGCTCATGACCATAATCTCAACTACTCAAAAGGTTCTCGGTTCAAAGCCTACTTGGGCAGAAAAGTCCCTGAGACTCTTGATTAACCAGCAAAACAGAAGTGGAGTTGTGGCTCAAGTGTAAGAGTGTGTAAGAAAGTGTAAGAAAAAACCAAGGGAGAGTGCAATACCCTGAGTCCAAGTCCCAGTATCAGGAAAGGAGAGAAGAGAGAAGAGGAAGAACAGAAGAGATGGAAGGGGAGGGGAGGATGTGGAGTGCCAAAGGCATAAATTAGGTCAGCTTATTCATCCTAAGTGAGGAAAATAACTCCAATGTTATCCCTAAGTCTTCCTACCAACTACCATAAATCCAAAGTTGAAAACAAGCAAACCAAAAACAAAGATCTACTTAAAGCAGTAAACCACAGCTAAGTTTAGACATACCTTATATTCCAATAGACAAGTTTAGTCTTTCCTGCTAAACAACATGACTGCATTTTCAAAGCCTGTTAAACAGGAATACTGTCTTTTAACATTACTCTTGGTGAAGGTACCACCTTTTGTTTCCTTCTATTGAACTAGTGACTCCCTTTTTTTATTTTATTTTTTTATGTTGGGGGATGGAGGCGAGGGCTTGGGGCACACCGGGTAAGTGCTCTACCACTGCACTGTACCACCAGTCTGAACTCCAATTCCTTTTGAGCAGATTAGACATTAATAAAATGAATTTCTAAAATCTGAAGATCTATATCTCATAGAAGAAAACCATGTAAATCTCCTCTAAGTCATTTATGAATTTTAGTTTAACTCAAATACAAGATGTCTACTTTACTTCAGTGACCTAGTTTGGATAGAGGAGTGGGGTGTAAG